ATAGGGAGTTGTGGTGTGTATTGTAGTCTAGTCTGTTCAGTTCTCTCCGGCTTTTGTGTACAAACAAATCAACTTGAAAGTAGTAATTGTATAATCACTTAATTTTGGTTTGTGAGAGCTTAAATTGGAGATGGGAAGGCAACCTTGCTGTGACAAAGTTGGATTAAAGAAGGGGCCATGGACTGCTGAAGAAGACAAAAAACTCATAAATTTCATTCTCACCAATGGCCAATGCTGCTGGAGAGCTGTCCCTAAACTTGCAGGTCATTTCCCCAATTTTTTCTATAAGTTGAGAGAGAGTTTTAGCTTATTTTCAGAATTAATTTGAGATTCTTCTTATTGCTTTTAGGACTATTGAGGTGTGGAAAGAGCTGCAGATTGAGATGGACAAATTATCTTAGGCCAGACTTGAAGCGAGGTCTTCTCTCAGAATTTGAAGAGAAAATGGTTATTGATCTTCATTCCCAGCTTGGAAACAGGTGCTTAAATTTCCTGTTTTCTCTCAATTTTTCTTCTTAATTCAATTAATGAAAAGAATGTAAATAAATTTCAAGAACAGAATGTGGCCGACAGATTATCATTAGCATTTTCTACTTTAGTGCAATTCTTTGCAATATTGCCAGACACATGCAGCTGACCAATCATAGCTTTCGTTGGATCCATTTTTCATTTGGTTGAGTTACAATATAATATAATTTCTAGTTGCTAATTAACTTATGGTCATTTTCTTGATTTTCATGGTTTTATAGATGGTCAAAAATTGCTTCTCATCTTCCGGGAAGAACTGATAATGAAATCAAGAATCACTGGAACACCCACATCAAGAAAAAGCTGAGAAAGATGGGGATTGATCCTCTCACCCACAAGCCACTGCCAAATACCACCACCATTCAACCGCCGGAAAATGAACAAGCTGGTGGACTAAAGTCGCAGCCGCCACCGTCTGAAGTGGCGGATCAGAACGAGGAAGAGGTAGTGGTGGTGGTTGACACCCAATTGCAGTCAGCCATTACTGATCAGGCTAAAGATGGAGACAAAAGCATAGCCACTGGCCCATTTGATTCCATGGAAGTCAATAATGATTTCTGCATTGATGAAATCCCAGTAATTGAACCCCATGAAATCCTAATTCCTTGTGAAAATTCATCATCATCTCCATCATCCTCTTCCTCCTCCGTTGGCGGGTTTTCATCTAATTTGCTTGAAGATTTGGAGTTTGTTACAACGTTCGATTACAACGAAATCATGAGCAGTATCTGGGACGATGATTTCGTAAGCAATTTGGATTTGCATAATAATTGTGATGGTAACAACAATTTAATGGTGGAACCCCCATTAATGCAGTTCCCTTTAATGGTCTCAGATGAAGGTGCTGGAAGTCTGTTTGATTTCTTGTAAATTATATTTACAGCATATGTAATTTCTTCTTTTTCTGTATTTACATCTAATAAAGGAGAAAGATTAAAAGGAGGCCAGATTTATCAAAGGTATTTTCTTTTACCATGCAAACTGCTCTCCTTTTTTATCTTTCTTTTGACTGGTTAATTTTCTATTGGAGAGTCCAAAAAGACCAAAAAAAAAAAAGAGAGGAGGAAGAAAATAGGCACGTCTCACTAATTGAATAAGATTGGACATGATTCCTTTAAATGTGATATATATATTGCTGTATTCACTCTAGTAAACATGTTCACGTGAGATGGATATTATGTGGGGGCGGAGACAAAATCATTTCTTATTACTATTTGTGAAATTTAGCGATTTCGTCTCGTCTTCATTTCAATAACTAACATGGGAATTTGTGGCCGGAAAAGTCATCCAATTATTTATGAAAATTATGCTTTTTCATTTTCCTCTATTTTCAAGTGCGTAAGCAAAACTTTTACGTGCTCCACAATATTTTGAATACTCTTTTCAACTTCTCTCCTTATCCTACAATTTCACCATCACCCTTTCTGCCCCCAAAGTCGCGGGGAAGGGCGAGGTAAGGGTAATGAGTTGGGGGAGGTGAGGAAGTCTCGACTTGAGGGGAAAAGCTAATGATTGTTGTTGACCCCCTTGTTTGTAATATTTACGTATACAACAGATCTTGGTCCACTTGTGTCAACACAAGCAAATTTCAACACGTTTCGATTGGCGATCTGGATGGGAAAGGATAACATTTATGGATGTGAGCGATGCTCTACGACATGAGACAAAAATGTTCGAATACCGACAATATGATCAAAGATGATTGCATATATAATAAACAATCACAAACAACTCAACCAAAGTGAAAATAATCTAAACTCAAGACAATAAATATGAAATAGACGAGAGAAGATAAAGTATGGTTTGAAGTGTAAAGAGTTGCATTAGCTTCAAATGTTATAAGAGTTGCTTATTTATAGGATTCTGGCCGAAGTGGTAGCCGTTGAATAAGAATCGCGTTGCCTTATCTCCTAGGTCGAAGCCTCACATCACTAAGTCTGTTATGCATTTAATATATTGACAATGGGTCAACCACCCTACATTCTAGGCGACAACCCTAATAATTATTATTACAAACATTACATCAATCACTCCTAAAGAATGCCCGCAGATCCTCTAAAAGACACAAAAGGAGTTTCGGATTGGAGGTCTTCTTTGTGAAGAGTTTTGGGACAAAGAGCTCCGGGCTTCTTCTTTGACTTCCTTACTTTGACCAATTGGGGTCCTTGTTGACTTTGTCAGTTTTGACTTGTATACGTAGACTATGATGTGGTGTTCATTTGGAGCCTTGGTGGCGAGGCATAACAACAATTCCCCAAGTCTATACATGATTATTCATATAATGCATGAACTTTTATTATCAAAAATTTTGTTTGGGTAGTCATTTTTAAAACACCACAATAGTCCCCCAACTCTAAATATAAATATTTATATTAGAATTAGAATTTGAAAGTGGAACAATTATAATTTGCTAGAAGAACTTATTGAGGGTGTTGTCCAAAACTATGTACTTTGAAGTTTTTGAGTTTTTGGAAAAGGTTGGGGAGCATCAGTTGATGTCTATTAATCTGAGGCTATTTGCTCCGAAGTGAATTTTTGCATCTGAAACCTTGTCAAAGCTATTCATGTCAAAGCTGAAGTAGTGTATCTCTGCTATTTGTTTAGACTGTAATGCAATAATTCAGAATAGACATAATTTTTGAAACATCGGGAACACGAGGCATCTTTAATTATTGAGCTCAAATAATTTGCTATCATGTACGTTTTCAAGAAAAGACAATTGAAACGCTTCTACTTTCTATACATGCAATCGTCGCCATATTTAATGAGCAATAATGACTGCTGCAAAGCGTACACGAGTGAATCAGACGCTCTGATCTGGACCGTAAAATATGAAACGAAAAACGTCATGGATGGCTCAGATTAAATTTTAAATGAACGGTTGGATGGTTAAGATCTAGATCCAACGACTGAGGTTGATGACCTCAGCCTATAAAAGGCAACGATTTTGAGTGAAAATCAATTTGCTTTCGCGAACAAGAATAATTTCTTCTGGTCGCTTTCACGAACTCCGGCATCTTTTATTTAGTGATTTTGTTGTTTAACTTTGTAAACATTTTCAACTTCTTTGATTTTGAATTTCATAGCTGCTTCACTTTGGGGTGACTTACATATTAGTACTGCAGCTTCTGAGATGGGGGTTACAATAACCAATACTATTGACCTCGTCCAAGCCATTAGGACTGGTCAGAGTGCTTTGCTCACAAGGAAAATCCCTTCAAATGTAACTGCAACCGACCATGTGGACATTAGGGAGAATGTTGCATTCCCTATGACATCGAACTCATAGCCCCGTCTCTTGACGAGCAAGCCTGCTTTCCTAGAGAGTAGAGTGTTGCTGTCAGCGAGTTTCTTCTAAAGGTGGACTTCGTCTACCCCTTTATCCTTTCTTTAGAGTCGTTCTTAGGTTGTATGGGCTGACACCTACCCAACTCATCCCCAATGCATGGGCCCAACTAGTGCGGACCTACGTTTTGTGGAAGGAGACCTCCCTAGGTGAGGATATGCCCCTTCATGTCTTCTAACCCATCTTCTAACCTCGGTTCCTCGGTAAAGGGGATTCTATAAAGAGCATATTCTCCCTTTGTCATAGGCCTCCCTTCCTTTATCAAGGGATAGAAGGAGACTTGGTTTTCAATCAAGGGACAATGGCAAACGTGTGAAGGTGACGGTCCCTTATGTGTAGTACCAACTAGTTATTCCGAAGCTAGTGAGTGTTTGTTCCTCTAGACTTTTGTTTCCTAACTTTAAATCAGCTTTGACCTTTGAATCAGCTTTCAAGCAGAATTTGGTGTTATAGAGGACCTTTACCTTCATCATCTATCTTCAAGAGAATTTGACCATTTGATTAACTCGAAGCATTTTTGAGGAGTTTAGCATAATGGCTCGAAGAGGTAACTTCTTAGTAGGAAATCTCTTAACTGTTGTAGTGGGTAATTCGGACCGACCCTCTATTTTGTTTGCATAAAATTTCGAGAAGATGAGGCATCACACCCCAGATATGGCCTCCATCCTTGCTGTCACCTCCACTATCATGAGAAAGGGGTTCAAGCCCTTATCCGTAGCAGCAAAACAGGTGAGGGACCAAGTAGAAAAGATTAGAAAAGAGGCTACTGGTTGCGAGGGAGAATGGTGACTTCTTGTCAACGATAAAGTGAAAAATAAAGTGGAGAAGGTCCCTGAGAAGAAGTTTACATTCTTCTCTACCGAAAAGGAGGGATCAATGTCAACCCACCACCTCGATTGGAAGTCCCCGCCAAAAAAATGATGGCAGCCTCCATTAAAGCCAACAATTGTGGAGCCTTTAAGGCAAGAACCGTCGAATAGATTGAAGACCTCGAGCGGCTCAACAATTGCCTCTGATGCAGCACCTCGAACCAAGCTCTCCATGTCTAAAAGGAGCGACTAATTGGCCCCAGAGGCTTTGTCCATACTTCATCCAGAGATTTAGACTGCAACTGCCACATTTAAAAGTCCTTAAAAAGATAGGTGGCATACCTTTATGGAGACTAGTAATTCAGTGGACATTTTTACCACAATGGTAAGTCAGACATGTAGAGATTTTTGGGTCACCATAGAGGCTGAAGTCCTCTTTAAAAACCTTCAGAAGAAGAATAAAGAATTTTTTAATAAGGCATCCCAAGCAGAGGAAGAGGCCAAGAAAGCCAAGTATAAAGCCGAGGTCGCCAAAAAGTAGTAGGCTGAGGAGGCCACAAAGTTCACTTCTGCTTTAGCAGACATTGAGAATCTGAAGAATGAAGTCTACTTATCTCAAAGCGAATCGGCTTCTCTTACCTAATGAGTGGAAACCTCCGACGCTCATTAGAAAATAGTTGTTGAGGCCTTGGAAAGGTCAAATAAGGAGAATACTGCCTTAAAGCAACAGGTAGGGGAGCTTGGCTCCAAAATCACTAGCTTGACGAAAGAGTCGGAGGCGGGGAGGAAGGAAGCCCAGTATGCTTTGTTAACTTCCACTCAACTGAAGAGTATCAACGCTTTGAAAAATATGGCGGAGGTATGCATACACCAAAGTTGTGGAATAGATTAAGGTGCACTCCCAAAATTTCAACACCTCAGAGTTGAGGTATGAGTTTTTGGAAGAAGTTGAGCCTCAGACTCCAGTGGATGGCAGCCATGTGATTGAATTAGAAGATAATGAGGCTACGGAAGACAACACAACTTTTGAAGCAATTGGCCCCAAAGCCATTGTCCCTTTTTCTGGCACCGATCCCCCTCATTTACCTATTTAGCTTAGGCTTTTATAGTAATTTTTTTATTTCTCCAATGAAAATGGCTCAGTCCCCTATATAACAAACTTCAATGAATGAAATTTCTTTTGTTAAACTTGTGTTTACTGAATTTCATTTATGTTATTTCTTGGTAAGGCTTGTTTTAATCGTAATTTGTACAAGTGTTAAAAGCATGGGGTTGAATGATTCATCCATGCAGAGGTTTCCCCCATGAATTTCGCCATTAGGAGCATGTGTTATCCACTTCGACAAGTAAGGATGTGGTCCCCTTTGGGATCAATCTCTTCGTCGAAGTGCCCACGTTTTCTGTCTGGTGATAACTCGTTAGGCAGATGTTTCTCCCAGGACCTTTATCGATAGAAGGCACCTTTCTTTCAAAAACATTTAACAAGGATATTTTCATTGAACTAAACAAATTGTACATAGTATTTACACACTTCTATTGATAGTACCTCGGGTGTTTTGCATTCTAAGGATGAGGTTGTGTCTTACCATCCAAATTTTAGATTCTATAGGTTCCAGGACGAATATATTCTCTGATACAATAGGGACCTTCCCAATTGGGACCAATAGTCCCTACTCCTAGCTCTTTAAAGAATAGGAATACTCTTCGCAATACAA